GTGTCTCACAGAGGTATTCAACCTCCAGAACTTGAGTCAGCACTTTCAAAAGAACACTAGAAAATAGAAGAAATATAGAATTTCTTTTTTTCCTTTGTTCTGGAGTTGGCAGTACTTCAGTTTTTTTAAATCTCTAATATTTTTGCAGATTTGCACAGCAAAATGGGGAAAGCCTCCTGAATTATGACGCTTATTCACATGGCTTAGGAAAAGTGTGAGATATTCAGTTTGAATCAATGCATTTAAGTTTGTTTTCCCATAGCCAAAATGGTAAATAATAGAATCAGACAATAATTTTATTCCCTTTTGTTTTCTTGTGGGTATTTTGCATACTAGCTCCATTACTTTAATGTAATGTAATTTGCTGTGGTTCAAATGATTAATTACTATTACTGTAAGTTCTGCTAGATCAAGCTAATGAACATTCAGCACAGTTTCCTGTCACTTCTCATCCCAGCTCTGTCCCCTCTTCCCCACACATGACACCCCTACAGTAAAAATAAAAGCACACAGAGTAAAACATCAGCAGTGTTTGTTAACCACCACATCCAAATTTTGCTAAAGCACTGTAAGTGCTCAAAAACATCTAAATACTGATAGAAACTTGGGATTCTCAAACACTTCCAGACCTACATTTTTCATAGTAAATGTCCACTGTGGCAGAGTAAAACCTCAGGACCAGCACATCCAAATTTTGCTAAAGCCCTGTAAGTGCTCAAAAACATCTAAATCCTGATAGAAACTCAGCAGTCTCAAACACTTCTAGACCTACATTTTCCATAGTAAATGTCCACTGTGGCAGAGTAAAACCTCAGGACCAGCAGTGTTTGTTAACCACCACATCCAAATTTTGTTAAAGCCCTGTAAGTGCTCAAAAACATCCACATACTGATAGAAACTTGGCAGTCTCAAATACTTCCAGACCTACATTTTCCATAGTAAATGTCCACCGTGGCGAGGAGGCGTTCTTTTATTTACCTGCTCACAATTGATATTATTTGGCACAGGCCAGACCGGCAGCGCAGCCCTAAATGAAGCAGAGGTTTAAAAAGCATTAATATGATTTTAAAAGGTATTTGAGGCCTCTCTTTTGGCCTCTGTTTGGCCGTGCTAGGCCGGTGAGTGACAGCTTCCCTGCTTGAGGCGCACAGAAAGCACAGCCTTCCTCATTCACTGTCAGCTCCGTGGCCTTTTCACACGTTCCCTCCACAGCAGTGTTTGTCCCCAAACACTGGGAGCCGGCACAATGGCATTCCTGCCCCGGCACCCCCACCAACAGCCCCGCTACTGCTGGGGAATGCTAATCACGGGCATCCCCAGCTCCCACTGCATCCCGCTTCTGCCGCTCGCCCGGCTTCGGCCAAGCTTCTGGGCTGGGGGCTTCTTATTCCTGAATTTGGTTTTAGTAGGAATTATGGAGGCGAGACAGGAAAAAAAAAAAAATTAAAATCTTATATGTTTTCCTTCAACTGCGTATGTTATATATGAAATGGACTGATTAAATTATATATTATATAATTATTTTACAGAATAAACTGCTTTTATGATATAAAATAATTACATGTCATATATATCATTAGCTGATTATATTATGTAAAATAACTATATACTTATATAATAAATGTAAAGTGAACTGCTTTTATGATATAAAATAATTATATATAATACATAAAATTAACTTAGGTAAAACAACTATATCATTATATAATATATACACAATTAACTGCTTTTATGATATAAAATAATTATAAATAATACACAAAATTAACTTAGGTAAAACAACTATATAATTATATAATATATACACAACTGCTTTTATGATATAAAATAATTATATATAATACATAAAATTAACTTACGCAAAATAACAATATAATTATATAATATATAATTAACTGCCTTTATGATATAAAACTATAAATATAATATATAAAATTGACTGAGATGTGTAAAATAATGATATAATTCTATATAATAGATATAATAGATAAAAAATTTACCACTTTTCTGCTGTAAAAGAATAATATAATTACTTATATAAAAATTTTACTGATTATATACAATATTTACTGATTTTACATACAAAATTTATTGATTTTACATACAAAATTTACTGATTTTTAACCTCAGATATATTTGGGGATCCCAGAAATTCCAACAGATGCCTACACATCATGTTTAAAACAGCAAGGCAAAAGGCTTTCCTCTGAAATATTCATAGTAGGATAATTCTAACAGAACTGGAGTTAAATTTCTTAATTTTTTTTTTTTTTTTTAATATCAGAAAGCTGCATTTTTCCCTTCAAGCATTCATGGCATTAAAATGTCATGATATAATTTGCTGATACTTTAGGAAAGCTTATAGCTCATCATATACATATGCAGTTGAAATTAGAAAGTAAAAGATAGAGGATTTTTGCAATATAGTGTTTATACTCGGGTTTTTTTTACTTTTTCATTGATTTAAAAAAAAAATAAAGCCAGTTGCAAAAGCTCAAGTATTCCCTGGGTTTCATCTGGCTTACTTAGCCTATATGAATTTCAGGGAACACTTTGAAGAATGTCCTGTCCCCTGTGAAAGGCTACAAACACTCCAGCTAAGGGGCAGGGGCTCCTCACTGTGCCCTTCCCTGGGGCAAGGAGCAGCAGGAATATCAAGACAACACTTTTTAAATTCAATACACACATTTTTGACTGAAGTGCAGGTGGATTGAACAGAAATACATGTATTATAGCGTTATAGAATTGTGTGTATTAGCATGTTATTAGTTTATGTGCTTCTTGATTTCAGCAAAGTGCCTTAGCAGAGTAATGCTGAATCTAAGAATAGAACTTCTTTAAAATCTGCTTTCCCCTTTGACTTACATGAAAAAACAAAGTAAGCACAAATAATTCAGGTGTCCAAAGAGCAGAGAGACAAATGGAAATGGAGCAAATCTTTGTAATGCTGTCAGGCAGTGGCTGGATGTTATATTGTGTGAATTCTGCGTGCAGCCACCACAGCACTGCCCTGCCAGGCCTCAGCACAACAGGACAAAGTGAAAGTATTGCCCTGAAATGTCCAGGTTTGTTATTAATGTGCTTCTAACCCTGCATTTGTATCACAGCACAACGTGCTCATTGCAAAACAAACTTTATTCAGACAAGGTCAACATCAACAAAACGGTGTAAGAGCACCATCAGAAGAATTGTTACACCTACAGTTGAAATAACCCCCAGTTGCTATAATTACTTAATTTATGCTCAGTCCTAGCACAATTTCAGTTAGAGAAAAAGCTGGAAAAATGAACAGAGAGCACTTTACACTGAATTATATGTTGTATCTTATCTTTAAAGTAATATAACTAAACACGAGGTTTTGGCATGTTAACTGCACAAAACATTTAACATCCTTGTGCTGTAAAATTTTCATTTAAGAACTTAATTCAGTTTGAAATGTTTATTAAAATATTTTAATGGTAAGTTTTTCATAGCTGTACTGACATTTATCCTTGTAATCTGGACTCTTAAAAGTTACAAATGTCCAAGCTGATTATATGAGCATAAATCTATATGCAAGTCTCTCATTATAAAGAATCATTTGTCTTCAGAAGAGATATTTGAAATCTACTAAAATTGTTTTATTTTCTTGTCATTTACAATTTCCTACTGAACACTAACAGATGATCACAAGAGGAATGATTAGCATGAGCTAGTTTACTGGCATGTCATTATATATTCTTTAAAGAAAAGACTGAAAATAGTCAAAAAATGGCTTTCCAGTGAATTTCTATTTAGAAACTCTCTTGTCTGTTTTGTTCAACTAATCGCCATTCTACTTGATAAATACTTGTATGCATTATATATACTTGTATTTATTTAAGAGAATACTATGTTTTAAGGCACTGGAAAGTAGTAGATTTCAGTTCTATGGCTTTTGTGACAGGCAACATTGTCTTAAAAGGGTAGAATTATCACAAAATATGTAAAGATTATTTCCCACTTTTAATATATCACTATACTGCCTCAGAAACATTCCAAAATAAGCTTTTCTTTTTCCTTTTCTTGTTTCTCTTTCACACGCTCTCTCATTTTTGGTTTTTTGTTTGATTTCTTCTAGCTGACCACTGTTAGTTCTGGAGAGGAGCAGCGGCTCGCAGCTCATTTCTCTGTGTGGCTGTGGCAGCAGGAGGTGCTGTATAAACAGTGAGTGACACTGTGCCTGCTCCTCTCCTCCCCCTTCCTTCCTCCCAGCCTGGAGCTGCTCATCCTCAATTCTGGGGCCAGCAGCACTTTGAAATCTCAGCGTCCTCACTGCCTGCTCCATTTCATTTTTGCCTTCAAAACCTTTATGTCTCCTATTTTTCACCTAGTACTTAAAAATATGCACATTCGTAAACACATAAATGAAATGATGTTGCTGTGCTCAGCAAGATCAGTGTTTTCTCACTTATGTTTCCTAAAATTTGAGTAATAAAAAATTGCTCCCAAACTGTCAGACAGGAGAGTGTCTGTTTGCCACTGCTTTTTCGAATTGAAAATGCACATCTGGTACATTTGTTTGCCAGCACACGTACAGAAATTAAAATCATGATGTTTTAAAATACGATAAATTTATTTAATTTGTCATGATGCCGTGCCAGCTGTACTTAGTTTTATTTATTTATAACACGTTTCAACTGAATTGCTATTGAAGTTAGTTCTGTGGGAAGACTTTTGAGACGACTAAAAGCTGCCTGTGCAGAACAGCAGTGAGAACTGATGGCTTTAGAGAATTTCCACACAAGGAGCACCCCGGCTTGGCAAAAATGCAACACGTGGCACCCCACCCCACCAGAGAGACAAATTAACTCCTCTGCTGTGGGCTCTGCAATTCCAGGACAAGCATTTCTTTCTCCTAACAGGCACTGCAGCTTCTCCAGCACGTGCCAAACTTCTTTGTGCCACAGCTGGTTTTATACAATCAGTATATTTGAAAATAAAAACAGACAAGCAGACTTTTAAAGAATGGGACAACTCACCTCTTTGCTACACTTTGCAGACTTTAGTCGTTGGTGCAGGGCCAAGAGAACTCCTTGGATGTAAATCACTGCTCCTGAGAGGCTGAAACCTTCTCTCTTAAAGACCAAAACAGGTCCACACAAAGTTCTGATGACATTTTGCAGGCATCTGTCAAGTAGAGGAGCTATATAAAGAAAAAAAGAAAAAGGGAATAAAACCCCCACCAAACAACCAAAAGAAGATGCATTCTTTTGACCCACTGAAATATGCAGCCTCTAACACAGCCTCGGCACCAGAACCAACTCTTAATATCTATTATTTATATCTGACCTGGGTTAAGTCTTGGAAAAGCAACTCCTGCATTTCTAGTGGCCACCATGAAGGACGTATTTATGTGGAGACACCCCCATGAAAGGCTGAGCACACCTGAGTAGCTCTGAAGTGTGCCTAACTAGCTGTCGTGGTGTGCACTGATTGCCTTATCTTCTCATTTATCACAGATGAGTTGGAACCAACCTTGCTGAAACCCACTTGCTTTGTCCTGATAAAATTGCAAGATCCATGTTGTTTCTGTACACAGTTTGCTGTTGAGGGGCTGACATACACCCACAATATTGTAAAATTCATAAAATAGAAACAACGCTCTCAGAAGCTGTTTTAGTATAACCTCCTCTTTGCCACCATGGAAAAACCAACTTGTTGCAAATAAAACTGCTCAGTGTGGCTGGTTAATAGCGAGAAAGATCAAATGAAAAGAGAGATACAATTAATTCATGGCAATGCTCTCAACAAGATCTTTGCCTTGCTGTTCTTAGATTTCAAATAATTGCAAAGGTTGGAAGGATTCTCTCAAAGTGACCTAAATGGCAATATGTGAGATAAATAAGGAATTATTATTTTGGCTTCAGGCATTACTAAGGTGCATGTGCTCTGCATACCTTTCTCTGTAAAATATGCAGACCTTTCTTACACAATAAAATAACATTAAGCAACATTTCAGGGGAGGGAAGGGGAAGGAACACCAAAATCTGTTTTTATGAGCAATATGAAATAAAATGAAATAAATTTGTATAAAACATGCCTGTAAACAATGCAAACAAAATTATATACATAATTCCTCCATCTAGTCAATCTGTGGTCATAAAGATTCACAGTAGCTATGTCAGTATAAATGGTGGATTTACTAGGTACATAAAGACGGACAAAGAATTGCAGATTTTGTCAGACAAAATACCAGAGGAGGCGAATTACACTGCCTGTATTTTATTAGAATAGGAGATGTGTTCCATTTGGGTAGGGCAAATATTGAGCCTCAATAGATGTTCACTCAGCTGTGAGAGCAGAGTGTGAACCAAGGCCTCAGTTAAGGAACTTTCGTATGCAAGTTCTTTAATAACTGAAGACTTTTAGACAAAGAAGGAGCATCTCATATGGTTAAATCTATCTTCAAGGATAAAGAAATAAGTAATCATGCAACAGACTGTATTTTGTCTCTGCTCAAGTCAATGTGTTTTAGGAATTATTTAAGCACATGGTTAAACAAAATTGTGTCTATTTTTTGTGAAAGGCATTGCTGTTTTAAAAATCATGTTAAAGTCCAGGTCTTGTGACTTCCACAATTTTATGATAGGATTTGATAACATAGTCAGTAATTGTATGTATTCTCACATAAACATTCCTGAGAGCTTCCATATAGTGCACTTGTCTTATCTAAAGGGAGACCAGACTTAACAAAATAAGACTGAGGGGTCTCTGAGTAAGTTAATATGCATATTAACCTTCTCTAATGATTATCTTATTTAGTATTAAAGGGCAATACTGCAAGACTTTTTGAAAATACTTTGTCAAAGCAAAGATCCCAAGCCAGAACACACACAACAGACCATTAAATATTTGCATTTAAAACCTGATTTCTCAGCATATGACCATGCAATTGAACATGAGCAAACATTATCTCAAGTTGACAATAAGTGAATTAATAGTTTTCCAGACTATTGTAATAATGCACTTCTCATTCATGGGAGCCAGACATTAAATTAAATAGATTAGGAGAGATAATGAATGAGATTTGACCAGGAACACTAGTAGGGGTGAATTGACTTCAGTGAGCAGCACCAGAATTAAATCTATGTTTCACGTGATGTGGTATGTAATGAGGAGTGGTTATAGTCTTACTCAGTTCAAACAAAATAAAAGGATGAAAATCTGATCCCATTTATGTCTTTGGAAGGTTTACAAATAACTGAAGTGAATGCGGTTTTTATTCAGTGCTTTTTAACTTAGTTACCATAGGATAAACTTCACAGAAATTAAGTGCTGATTTTCTGCCTGTAGACTGAAACAGCTGCGGAAAAATTTTTGTATACTGGCGTTGAATGTTAAATTTAAAACACCAATTATAATACTGACAATAATTTAACTTCACCACAAATAACTTTAACATTTTAATAATTTTAATATTGTAACAATATAATGCAGCAGTGTTGATCCACTTCCTCTGAAGGTGGTGACCTTAGGGACCACAGAGTTCCAAGATCTCCTGGGCTACCTTGGAATTTAAAGATTCAAAGTGTCACCTCTTTCAGACACACCTCAGGAACACTGAGTATCAGACCAAATTAATTTTCTATAAGCAATAATCATTTCCATAAACATCAGCTGACTTTATCCATAATGGTATTTACTTCATTCCACACTCCACCTTATCATTCCCAGATTTATAGTCTCAAAGTGCTTGTATTGCTTCTTTTTCCCCCCATTCTTTTGACTCCCCTTTTTAATAATCAAAATATAAATGGTATTCACTTATTAAGCATTCATTAAAGTACAAAAATGTGTGCCTAGGAAGTTGAAGGAATAAAGGTAGAACACCAGAGCAGTCACTTCAGAAGGGTCTACTTTCATTGAAATATTCCATAACTTTATTTTTCGTGGCGATTCCAGAAGATACTCAAAACAAAAACCCCTTGAAATAAAGAAAAAAAAAAATCACAGTTGTTCAAAAATTCTCCCTATTTTAGGAACATTTATGTTGTTCTTATTTGGAACTGATGTATGCAAGAATAATTTCCAATAAAGTTAGTTACTTCCAGACTTCCACACATTTTGATTTACCTAAAATAAAGAAGGTACTAGTCTGAACTATCATCTTTTAAAAACTGAAGGAGTATCAGTAATGACTTCACAAAGTATCTCCCAACAAAGTGCTTTGGTACTGTGTTTTAAAAAAAAAAAAGCCATCTACCAAGTAAGGTGAAAAGAACATACAGGAAAAATTTCCAAAATATTTGCAAATTTATTGTGAAGTGTTGCACAGTCCATTACAGCTGATCAAAGATTACAAAATGAATAATGAGGCAGGAGCAGGAAAGTCAGTAAGAGCAAGAGAAGGTAAATTTAACCCTTGGAGGAAAGTGCATGAGCTGACTTTCAGGAACAACTCATCACGATGTGTCCTTCAGAAGGTTATAGAGTAAAAAAAGGTAGTTTAAAGTTACGGAGAACACTTTAAGTTATAGCAAAATCCCTTTTCTTTTTAGCTTCCATGCAGAATTTAAAACCCTGCATTAGAACCAAACTTCTTTTTTTCCTCTTTTAATGAGTAATTTTGCCCATTGCAGCAGTCTCATCTGCTGGGGAGTCAGCAATAGATAAAAGGAGAGTACCAAAGGAACTTTGCTCCTCAGCTAAACTGAGCAGGGTTGGTACACCATTATTTTTATTCTCCCACTTATTGATTTATTGACTTCAAATCACATGACAAACATCGAATTTCCTTGAAGAAAATAATTGTTTTACAGTGTAATTTTACACTCCTCTGAAGAAAAGAGATGTGAAATTTTCCCTAAAACAAAACCCAGGGATTTTAAATTGCCACTGTGGCAAACAGAAGATAAAAATCTTGACTTTTTTTTTTTTTCCACTTTGTCTTGTCTTTAGACTTGCTGAAAATTATAAGAGTGAAATGTTTCTCAAATTGAGTGACAGAAAGGATGAAATCTAGTAAGGTATCCACAAAAAGTAAGCAGAATGTTTGTAAAGGAATGGGAAAACCACCATCTGGTAATTTGCCATCATCACCAGTGGACTGCAAAAAGCTAAAAAGCAAATTCTCCAAAATTCAGTTTGTTAACTTTCTTCTTACTAGGACCAACCACCTTATGGGAGCAGAGACATACTTTTTTATGGCATTATTTTTTCTATTTTGCCAAGTTCCTTTCTCCACCAATTTCTCTTAGTAAACAAGGTACCAAATGGCTTTTTTTTTTTTTTAAGCAAATAACAATATCAGGACAACCAGAAATAAATCATCAACGTTTATTTCCATTAGGGGAAACAAAGATCTTTCAATTTGACCAAAATATTAGGAATTATTTTTATACTTTTTAGGGACAAGGCTTTTTTTCCTGAAGGTACTTTGGTACTTTCAATATACCCTATATTCAAATATATAAAGTAGATATTTATCTACTTTTATATATATATATATATATATCACTAAAGGCATAAGATTGAGTTGGTGCTCACAGTGCTTCACATTTCTAATTTTTAGCAACCATGAGTTTTAGCAATACATAGCAACTTCTGATTTTTAGCAGTTCCTTGTCCAGGGCAACTGGCACGCACTGTCCAAATTGTAATTTGCATAGGGAAATGGAATTATGGAGACCATGCATTTTCCTCTGTTCCTTAAATTGCATCGGAGTGTTTTTACTCAAACAAAAACTAATCTAACAGCTGCTGTGTACTTTTGTTTATATGCTATATGTCAAATCCTATTGTCCCCAAGGTACTTATGAGAGATGCTTTAGCAGTCATTTTCTTAAATACTGATGCCTATCCGAATTTGGATTTTTCCACCATTGAGCAGAATGACAAGTACACGATTGCTGTACTTAAAGCAATCTTTCACAGCTGCTTTGCTTTCCCAGTGATCCCATTAAATTGACGGCATATGCCTGTGGGGTCTGCAGTGTTACAATTCTGCTGAACAAGATGTTGATTGTACACTACAAATTCCTACAACACAACTTGGCTTTTTTTGTGGGAACCACTCCTCT